TCCTGTTGCCACCTCTGCACCCTGCTGAAGCTGATCTAGCATAGACTAAGTGGTGGGGATTTGACTGCTGTGAACCCAGAAGTGCTCAGAAATTTAACTGCATAAAGCACATATTGAAACAGTTTTACCTAATGGGCCCAGTTTTATGTCTTTTTGTTCACGAAGTCTGAGTTTCGTAATGCTTAGTTTGGATATATTAATACATTAGGAAGAAGAGTGATTAGGAGAAACGCACCAAAGCAGAGTTACGTTTTAAGTCACTGAGCATTTGAGTTTCAAAAGTATGTTAATGCTGAATAATGATAAACACAGCAGATACAGGAGGTCCTTCTACTTCACCATAATAGTTTACAGAATGTTATCTTTCGTATCTTCTGTACCCCATGTGAAGAATACTGGTAACAATTGGAAGTCAAAAAAGATCTATTGTACTATTTATAGGAAAATTTAGAGCATCTGATTACCCACAAACTGAATGTGGTCAAGATTATAAGGTATAATCACACTCATGTGAGCTTATGACTCTCTGAAGCAAGAATATCTTACCTAAGACCTAAAGTTAGATATTTGCCTTTTTATCTAAGAGCATTCCAAACCTAAAAAGTGCCCTGTTTTCATGCCACCTGACATGCAACTAGAAATTGTGTAAATAATGGCTCTTGCCACTGGATCTACACTTCTTCAGTAATATGAAGTATGTCATACTGTTATGACCTGCTGCAAATGAGATGCATAACCAGACACCCGCTTCTGGCAGTGTTCCTGAGGAATCTTAGCCCATTCCTCATGAGCAATGACCTCTAGTTCACTAATATTCTTGGGTTTGCATGCTGCAACTGCCTTCTTCAAATTCCACCAGATATTTTCTATGAGGTTTAAGTGGAGTGACTGTGATGGCCACTGTAGTATCTTCCAGGACTTCTTCTGCAACCAAGCTGTGGTGGAATTTGAGGTGTGGTTGGTATCATTGTCCTGTTAGAAGGTTCAATGACGCCCAAGCCTCAGCTTCCAATGGCATGATGTATTCTCTTCGGATTTCCTGATACTTCAGTTAATCCATCTTTCCTTCCATACACTGCAGGTTTCTAGTACCGGAGGATGCAAAACAGCCCCAGAGCATCACAGAAACCACCACCATGGTTAACTGTAGGCAGAGTGCTCTTTTCAGTGTATGCTTCATTGTTCTTCCTCCAGACCTACCGCTAAACCATGGGGCCAAAAGGTTCCAGTTTTGTTTCATCACTCCACAGAACATATCAAGTGTGAGCCTGTACCTAGGTGATATGAGAGGCAGCACAAAAGCACAACAATTGGGCAGTTTTACATGTTTTTTTATGTCTTGTCTGTCTATATCAGGTCCGAAAATCTAGTAATTGGACTTAACGGGACTGCTGAGAAAAGTAACTAGATGATCTCTGATCTCTGTATATAGTATCCCACACTGCTGCCTAAACCAGCTGCTGATGAACACTGTGCTGTAACACCAAATTCATTTAAATACCACATGCTTTGTATTCAGTCCAATCTGTAAATGTTGTTTTTCATTTCCCAGCCCTGATGAAGGGTGTGGTCTTAGGCTCCCGCAACGCATTGGCTCTGTTTTAAAGTCTTCTAAACTAATATCCATTGAAATAAATGTGTGTCTGGGTGACTGATCTGTGATGTGGCACTTTAAACTACGATTTCTCAACTCAGATCCATGACAGATGAATTCTGGTTGCTTACTTCCAGTTATTGCACTTTGCATATTACTCTTTGTCTCATTGAATCAATCTACTTGTTAAGCCAATATGGTCATAGTCAAAGATGTGTATACTCCTTCCAAAAATTCTAGAACAATATCTCAAACAGATGCTTGTTTTACAATATACACCAGAAAGCCCTTACTAAATACAGTGCAAGCCTTGGCTACATTCTGTTGTTGGCTAAACACAGCTATTTTAAAACACTAGGGGGTTGATTTACTAACCTAAACACACACACACACCAGGTGTGTGTGATTTTCACACAGCAAAACGTATTTATCAACCAAAAAGTCTCTAAAAGCATATTTCCACTAATGCCATATATGGAAAAATCATGCACATGATGCATATATAATGCTGCTTCACAGTTTAGACAAAAATGGTTAGCTCATGCATTTACATTCTTGCATTCATCAATGCAAGCAACATAACATAGAGCTAATTTACACCACATTACCTTGCAATTCATTGCAGGGCTTTGAACAACACACCTGCTGGGTGTGTACACACTACAAAGGTGTTTCGATTCCTCCCATAGATCATGCTGGGAGGGAACACACTACAGAGGTGTATACACGTTCGTGGTGTGTTTAAAAGGTTAGTAAATCAACCCCTAGAAGTCAACAGCCAGATTTTAACACACACCATCTGAAAGTAGTGAATGTCTGATGTATGGGTGCAATACCAAAAATGTATATTTACACATTGACTTTAACCTCAACATAAGTCCTAAATGTAACCCCAAAAATGAACCCATACCCTGAAGTTAACCTATCAACTTCTCCCTTAAGCTTAACCTCTATACTTGCAAAGTGAACTTGTGAGGTTAGAAATATGGGAGCTGCCATTTCTAGTGAATTTTTCAAGTGGAATTTTCAGGGTCTGATGCAGGCTCAAACTTTGTGAGTCACTGGGGTTGATTTACTAACCTTATAAACACGCCACAAACAAGTATACACCTCTGTAGTGTGTTCCCTCCCAGCATGATCTATTGGTGGAATCTAGACACCTTTGTAGTGTGTACACACCCAGCAGGTGTGTTGTGCAAAGCCCTGCATGAATTGCAAGGTGATGTTGTGTAAATTAGCTCTACGTTGTGTTGCTTGCGTTGATGAATGCATGAATGTAAATGCATGAGCTAACCATTTTTGTCTAAACTGTGAAGCAGCATTATATATGCATCATGTGCATGATTTTTCCATATATGGCATTAGTGGAAATATGCTTTTAGAGACTTGCATGCCGCTATTAGAGCGGCGTGTAGCCTATGGCGCATGCTACATGATGCGCACGTACGTAAATACATAAAAACGCGCCATAAGGCGTGAAAATGTGACACGTTGCTCGGGTTTGGTTGATAAATACGTTTTGCTGTGTAAAAATGCACACCTGGTGCGTGTGTGTGTTTAGGTTAGTAAATCACCCCCATTGACTTGGAAAATGTATGCAGGCAATAAAGTCTTAACTTCTCTCCTACTATATTTGCCTGTCCGAGGTCATCGACATGAAACCTGTATCAGGGGGCACAAATGTTTTGGTGCTGATGTTGTGTATGTCTTGCCAAAAAGTTTTATTTGGCTTTGGATACAATATGAAAGGGTTAAACCCACTGTCACTTTCTTATATCTGCATCCCATTGGGCAAATTTCCCTACTTCCTCTTCCAATGACCTATTAGGAAGTGTAAAGAAATCTCCAAAAAGTGAGGGGGAATTTCCACTAAGACACCAGAATAGATGTCCCCTGGTTCACCCTCACCTTTTGTTCTGTTAACTCTAAAACTTTGGATTATCAACTAATCAATTAATTGCCATGCACACCCAAATTACCTGGTGATGTCTATGCAGAAAAAAGAGTGAATAGCGGCCAAGCACTTCAGGTTTATGGATGAGTCTTGGGGAAATCCGCAGTCAGCTGACTCTGGGAATGACTGGGCAGGGATGTCTGCTGCTATCCATAGGTATGATGGCTGTTGCCTGAAATTGATTACATTAGGTAACATCCTTCATATACTAATGGTTCATAAAAGTGTACCTCAACATGGATACAGTAGCAGACATCTCCAAGTGTGTGCACTGATTCATTTTGTTGCCTGAACTCCACTGGAACCCAAGGGTTTCTCTGATGCAAATGCCGGATTCAGCATAGAAGGCACCGCTGTGGACTCCCTTGCATTCTGATACATTTTGCTACTGATGCATCACTGTAAAGGGTTGTACTTAGAAGTACTGGTAGGGGGCCACTTTTTCTGCATATTCTAGTTCCCTGCATTTTGTGTATCCAACGGTGTGCTGGAGAAAAAGTTGAAGGTGCCTACGATTTGCTCCAGCTGCTAGTCTACTAGGAATGTTATTAACAATTCCTAGTAGACTAGCAGAAACAAGTGATAACAAGTTCTTAATTGTAATACAAAGTCTTCACCAAATCAATCAAGGATTTTCTCTTTCCAGCAACAAAAGCCCTCGCTTCCATTTAAGTGTGTCAGATCATAGGCACTGAAAAGGTATCAACCAAAATCTGTGTGAAACATAAATTGATCTGCGTTTGCTGACTTTAAATCATTCTACAGACTGCTTGAATTTGCTTAGCTTTTCTTTGTTGAAGTGACACAGTTCAGCTTTGGAAACTTATCTAAAAGAATGCTGTATTGCACTGAAAAAAGCTGGACAACTTTAGGTATGGCAAACTTGCCTTTTAAAGTCTGCAAATATCTATTTAAGTAGAGTAATGAGCATGGAAAAACTTGACAGTCCACATCGGAGGGCAAATGGGGGAATTTTCCAGTTTCTTGTTTATACAGCATTTTATTGTGCTCTTTTGTTGATGAATATATTGTCAGTCAATCTTACTAGAATCTAAATGAGCATGTGTTTTGGTTGTTTCATAGCTTTGAATGCTTACTTTTATCTGCATTTATTGGAAGAAAATACTTGACCACAGATGTCTGCCACTACACAATCTCTTTTTTGTGTTACATTGTTTTTCGATGCAGTTTTTCACAGTATTGTCCATAGCTATGTAACATCATATTATGGTACACAAGTCAAGATACTATAATGGTTTAACCTTGACATACTGTATGTGGAGTGGAATCTGTAAAAATACTGAAGTCAAGCTGTGGTTTTGCCATATTTGCATAGACTGATATACTCAAAACTACTCTCCTATTGTCCAAATAGACAGATAGATGGTCGTTCTGTAAATATGCTATATGTGGATTCCTGCACAATAATCACTCACAATGTATTTGTTTCAGGCCGGCTTGATAAGAACAGACAGTAGCGAATTCTTTATTGAGCCTTTAGAGCGAGGACGGCAGGATGATGAAGAGAATGGCCGTGCACATGTGGTCTACAGAAGATCCGCTTTGCAGGACAAAACTGGAACCCAAGGGGAGATGCATAATGAAGGTACCTTAAATATGAAACATGTGGTGTTTTTTTTTTCTTAGACAGAACTACATTTATGTAATTTGTCAAGCGTCCAGTTGTTGATGTGAAATTTTCTAGGAACTGAAAACAATTATTATTAAAAAAATACAATATTTTAGTAAACCTTCTACAATACATCTTTAAAACCAATGTCTTCCATTGCTGAAATACCATGATTTTTGTAGACTGAAACGCATGTGTTATCACTCTACCATGAAGCAGAGAGAACCAGATTTTGTTTTCCAGAATATTATTTTAAGATTACAGTATTTGTTGTGTTTGTTCAAATACTGCTAGAAGTGCCACTCTTACATCAATCTCAGTTGCCAGTGGTTGCAAGTTACCATTCTGAAACTAGGCATTATACACAGGTGGATATGTATGAATAGCCCACCCACTAAGCACAAAGACTTGAATCCAGATATCACACAAATATGCATACATTTGTATTCTGCACACATGCCATGGTACAGTTTTTATCAGGGCTTGAAAAATCCGCTCGTCTGTGACGAGAGGACAGTGGAGCCCGACGAGCAGCTTCCCAGCCGGCCGTTGTAATTACACGGCCGGCCGGTAGCTTTACATTCAAGCGATCGGGCGTCTTTAGAGACGCTCGATCGCTTGTAATAGCAGCTGTCACTGCCGTTGCCGGTCCCGAGATCCGCTGTGCCCGATGCGGCCAGGACCGGCACGGCTCTGTGACAGGAGATCAAAGGGAGTTCAGTACACAAACTCCCTTTGATCTCCTCTGAGTCACGGAATGCAGGAAGTGGTGTATATTACATCACTTCCTGCATTCAGTGTCACTCTTCAGCTACAGAAGCTGATGAAGCAGATCTCTGCTTTATCAGCTTCTCTGGGGGCCCCTAGGGGACATTAGGGGTCTTGGAGACCCCTGATGTCTCCATAAAGAGGACCTGTCATGTAAATTGGCTATTACATAGGGGGCTTCTTAGCCCCCCATGTAATAGCAATAAAGCTGTGTGTAAAAAAAAAAAAAAGTAATATAAAAATTAAAGAAGCATAAAAAAATTTAAGAAAACACGCCCCCCACATACACACGCACTTTCGTGCGAAAACGATGATTGCGCCTATTGTGCCGCACATGTTAAATATCACAACAGATGTCGGAGTGAGAGCAATAATTTTAGAGCCATTAATCACTGATAATACTAAACTGATGAGCAGTAAAAGAGTTTTAATCGTCGCCTATGAGCGTTTTTTGCGATTTTTGCTGGCGCACGCAATTTTAAGGCTTGACATGTTTGGTGTCTATTTACCCGCCGTGACCCCGAATTTTATGTTTTACTAAAAATATGGGTAATAATAAATGTTCTATAACATAACGTAGGGAAACTTTTTTTTTTTTTACATTAACGGTACTTTTTTCATTATATAGTTAAAAAAAAATAACTCCCCCCCAGTGGTGATTATAAACCTCCAAAAGAAAGCTCTATCTGTCCCCAAAAATGTTTAACATAAATTGCAAGGCTATAGTCCGGTCATGCTGACTGGTGACATTTTTGACTGACTGGTGAGACACCATCAAATTTTTCAAGCCCTGGTTTTTATTCATGGAGAACAGCAGGTAATTAACCAAAATATAAAAAGCAAGAGGATTTTACTTTGTCATGATGTTTATTTCCATTCTCTCCAAAAAAGAGTTGTCTAATTTAATAAAATTATAACAGACATACACAGCTGGTAGGTCTGACCTTTAAGTGAGCCCGAGAATGAATGTTGAGGTCCCATGAATGGCAGTAATTGTATTCTGTCATCCATTAATTTCATACCTTAGACAAATATTTAAAGGCGTTCTAAAGTCACAGCATAGATTATTCTGTTATAACATCAGCATTGTAATAGGAATACATACTAGAGTTGTTTTTGATAATGCGATCAAAGCTTGAAAAAATCCCTTTTATGTAGTATGCTGCCTTCCATCTGCCCATCACTTTTAACAACTTCCTAGATTCCCAGTGTTCTTTGCGTCTCTTTCCCTGCTGCTTGATGTGATGTAATCTTGATTTCTCAAGACTACATATCGCACAATGCAAGCAATACTAATGTTACATTGTGAGAAGTTCAGCCTTGAGTTGTAGTTCAGACAGCGGGCTTGGTTAGAAAGGTGATACAAGGAAGTGCATATTCACAGAGCTAATTGAAATTGTGTCAGTGCATTAAGGAAGTACATCTTATGGGCATCTTCAATAATTAAGTTTACATACTTCTATATGAATATGGTTATTAGGAGTGGGATAGAATTTGTGGAAATTCAATATAGAAAGTAGGGCTGGTAATGATTACAATTTTCCTGTTCGATTAATCGAATTTTTTTAAATCGATTAATCGACTAATTTCGATTAATTATAACGCACATACAGAGGGGGGTCTCACCAGAGCTTTGAGGGGGCCTCACCAGGGTAGCAGGGCTCTGTGGGGTCTTACTAGCCTTGTTAGAACAACAAGAGGGCAGAAAGACATATTTATTTTTAGTTTTGACCATAGATACCTTGTAATTGACACTAGGAATTCCAGAAAACCAAACTGTTCCGATTCTGTCCTGATATCATCACAACAATCATCAGTAATTTAAAACTTCCCTAACTAGGTATATGAAGTGATTTTGATAACTCTTATGTAAACATAAATTGCAAATAAAGAATGTCTTTCTTTAAATGTAACTTAATCTACATGAAAAAGAAAACTAACTGGAAATCTGCACACATAAATTTTCAGTTTATGTCTAAAACATAGAATGGAGTTCAGTGGATTAAAACAACTAAGTTAGAAATCAGAAACATGTTGCTTTCCATGGCGACACGGTGATAAAAGACCATAACTGCTGACAGGCATATTGTTTTGGGTGCACGTAGATGACAGTCAATATTCTGCTAACATGCATACCTAATGTGACATCTGATAGGTATAACCAGTTGGACTGTGCTCTTCGCAAATAGTAAACATAATTTCTCCACCTTTGAGACTGCACTACACTGCACTACATTGGAGTTCAAGGACACAATTCAGTTGATTGGATAACAACAAACAGTCAAAGGGGAGTGAGATAAGGGAAGGATGGCAGCTTATACTCCAAAGTGAAGCAGGATACCCACCAAAGCATTTCTTATTTGACCAATCAGAAACCTTAATTTTCAATCCTACATTTTAATGGGTACTTCATTGAATTCATTTACAGGTAGCCATTTCCATCATGGCTATATATGTTGGTGCTCTTTGGAAAATAACAAAATAGCAGGCACTTTAAATGTAAGGTAGATTGGTTAGCAATAATTTAAAATGGATAGTCTGCCAAGTGCCTGAATTCCAAGACTCATTCATATTAATTTAAAAGAAGGATAATTACATAAAGAACTTACATAGACTTACTATGTTAGTATTTGTGAAACTAATCACAGGCGGCCAGGTGAATAAAAACTGCAGCCAACATGACTTTTGATTGATTTGACAATATAAACAGTATATCTGTCCCCACTGAAAGATTCACGTTCTCTCACTGTTCTGGTGACAACTCTAAAATATTGGATTTCTCTTCATTTGCAGTAACAGTGGTCCCAAAGACAGGCGTGAATCTCCCCAGCTGGGATACAGACAGCAATAAAACATGACAAAGGGTCTAACTTTGTTAGAAAAACTTCCTTACAGTAACATCTTGAAGTACTACCCTTGCTGGAAACTGAGGCACTTGCATTGGATAGGGGGATGGTAGTTGGCAGGACTTAACCCTGAAGTCAGGCTCCATTAACAAAGAAAAAGCAGTTTCAATTGGTACACAGAAAATAATTTTCTAGCTAAGAAAGGTAATATCAGGAATCTTATGGTGTTTTGCTGTTAGGCAGGTCTTTTACATTTAAAGGTTTGAAATGCCCCACTACTTTAAAGTGGACTCTATATGAAAAAAGGAAAGTCTGCTTTCCTACCAGCACTCCTGGAAGGTCCATTTTAACAGAAGATCTTGAAGCCTGAGCATGTCATGTCAACCATCCCAGTCATAACATGCACTGTATGTGTATCTGGAGTAGAAAATAAACACTACAGTGTAGTTGGTTCAAATTTAACCCAAAATGCTTTAATAACTAAGAGCTATTTTGGGTATTTAGTGGCTTTGATCCTCTAAAAGTAGAGGAATTAAGGGTGAAAAAGAGATTATTGTACATTCTTTTTCTGATGCAATTTCCAATGATCAATTCCCATTCACTGAAATAGTTTGGTAGTAGCTTGTTAGCATAGCCTATTTTCCTGAGGAGTAGATTAAAGCTGTGTCTAATCCTTCTTACTGTGCAAATTAGGTTATCTAAGACTTCACATGCCAACCAGAAAGTCCCTCTTTGTACAAATGATTTCTAGGAAGAAATGCTGTCTGTATATACTGTGTGACATGTGTGAGGGGCCAAGTAGGTAAACCACTGACTCAGCAAGCGGTCGTTTAAGTCTGTTGAGAAAATCGCTTTTCCTAAATGTCTAGTCTGTAGTATGGTTTTCTTTTATTGCATTTTGCTATAGGAAGTTGGTTAAATACAAACGTTTATTATTTTTGGATGCATTTTGTACACATGCAAAGAAAAATAAGACATAAAAAACATTTACTTTACAGTTGTAAGGAAAATATGTCTAAATGGTTTCTATATTGAAGGATTATTTAGTATAAATTAAAAAAAAATGCATTAAATGACCTTCCATTTATAATCTAAAGGCGGCCATACATTGTACTCTTTTCTTTTGTACAAATTGTACACAAACAGTCTTCCGAACAAGAATCGAACAGTTGATGGTACGAACAAAAATCGGTGGGGTTTTCATTCGTCAAAAATCTTAGCAAGAACACAGCACATGCGCAAAAGGAAATTATTTCCATCGTTTCTCCAAAGTTGGTTGGTTAGTATGGCTAACTAACGATTTCCGAAATCGACATTTGACTATGCTTGATGGGGAAGTGTAGGTAAAACCGAACGACGGTTCGTGCAAGAAATGAAAAATTTTGACCGAAAATCGTACAATGTATGGCCACCTTTTACTTCACACAAATCAGTTTTCCAGTTTTGGTGCAGCTACTTAGCCACTTTGGTACCAGCCTGCACATACCTCTTTATTACCAGGCTGTTTTCCACTTTTCAGGGCTTTGATAGTTTGTCTGATAATTACTCTGTCATGCAACACTATAGCCAAATGAATGTTATATCATTTTTTGAAACATATTTTTTGTTGTTTAGTGGTATTTTTTTCAACTTCAACTTTTTTTCTTCTTGCTCTACTATACAAAGGGAAAGGGTGGGGAAGGAGGGGTTAACGTGCAGGAAAAAGGAGTCACAATACAGAGGCAGGCTGGACACTTGTAGTTTAGGAGCGTAGTGGCAGTGAATGGGTTAAGAAAATCTCAGTCAAAGAGAATGAATGAATTAATCAGCAGCTGCTGACCCATTCATTCTTCCATTCACAACTTACATTTATTCCTCTCCTTCATCTGTTGTAAGAAGAAGTAGAGAGATTTTGACGACAGCTGTGATTAGTCATCACAGTAATCACAAGGTACTGAGCTGCTTAGATCAGCTCAGGACACAGCGGGTGCCCAATGGCTGTTTCTGGAGTGACGTATTAAAACGTCGTTCCAGAAATAGACATCCACCTCATAGTCATTTTTAAAAAAATAATACGGCTTTAGGGAGATGGTTAAAGATCCAAAGTCCAGAGCAAAATCCACAACTAGGCTCACCAGCAACAGGGACTATTTATTTATTGCAAGTAATTATATAGCCAATAATTTATACAGCACTTTAAGTATTATTCATTCACATGAGGCCCTGCTCTTAAAAGAACTATGGGGTAAGTGTTTTTCCCCATAGTTCTCTTTATGGCCACGGGAGGACATATACTAGCGTCCTCCCGTGACCCAAAGCTCAGTATATCGCGGACTATTGCCCGCGATATACTGAGAGCGCTGCAGCCGGGACAGGACCCGACAATACTGTCGGGATCCACCCAGCTGCATGAGTGACAGCTAGCTCTGCCTATCTAGAGGCAGAGCCAGCTGTGCTCGCCCTCTCTCCTGTTCGTTCCTCCACTCAGCGCTGGAGGATCGGAGAGGGGGGAATACCTGCAGGGAAACGGTGACTGACAGGGAGACAATCAGGAAATGAGCGGATCGGTGGCATGTTTCTGCTCACTTCCTGATCGATAGAGCCAACCTGTGATAGCTTCTTTGTCACAGGTCGGCTCTAACTATGAGGATGAGTGGAAATCACTCACTTCATAGATCTCCTTTAAAGAGCTTACAATCCATGGCTCCTATACCATGCATATATACCTACATACTAATACTAGGGCCAATTTAGAAAGGAGCCAATTCACCTACCAGCATGTCTTTGGAGAGTGGGAGGAAACTAGAGTACCTGGAGGAAACCCAAGCAAGCATGGGGGTACATTCAAACTCCATACAGACAGTGTCATTGACTGACAGCCAGTGCTGCCAGGCGGATGTGCTAACCACTAAGTCACCCTGACTAAAGCCTGAAATAAATGTGATATGTTTTCTGAAAAAAAGCACAAAACAAAAACTGTATTCACTGATTTTCTATGTAGTGTCTTTTAGAAATGGTAGCTGGGTAATCAGTAGATAGTCACTTGTGAATCCACAATTATTATCCACAATAAGGCTGAACTGTTATTTTTTAGGTATAATGTACAAGTACATGAGTACAACCTAGTGTTTTTTAAAGCTCAGCTCAAGAATTAGATATTCTTATTCTCTTGATACTTCTGGAGCTCATGCTGTGCCTTTTTCTTTCAGTTGCAAGGAGTGAAGTTGATGCGCTTCCTTTTGCTGTGGATTTGATGCAAGACAGAATATGGGAAAGTGAGCGCAAGAAACGTCATGCCAAGAAGGATGACTATAACATAGAGGTTTTGCTGGCAGTGGATGACTCTGTTGTACGCTTCCATGGAAAGGAACACGTGCAAAACTACGTCCTCACCCTTTTGAACATAGTGAGGTTTTAAAAAAATATATTATTTTTATTTGTCTGTTTATATGTTATGTATGTGCATCAGAAGAACGGTACTAATTTACTAGTTTGTTTTTAATAGAAAATCTTTCAAGAAAATAGTCAATTTAATTGTAGGTGGAGAGTAATGAAAAGACTGTGAAATAGTTCTTAACTGGAACAGTGTGTAATTGTGGTACTGTAAAGAAGATCGCATATTGCTTCGGTGGCTTCTTGACAGAATTTGGTGTTACAGTTAGCCCTATGTATCTGCATAGTTCAACACTACAAGTGGTCTTAGACATAGATGCAGCAGCACCTATCAGAGTGAGGGAAGTTCTCCCATGGCTCCCCTAGGCTATGTCATATGACACATCAGAGCCGAGGAGTAGCCTCTCTACTTCCTAGAGTAAGTTTGATGTAAATAGGGATGCACCGATACTGAGTATTTGGGGCGAGTACTCGTACTCGCCCCAAATACTCTGATACTTATCCTGATACCGGAACTTCTGGTCAGTGGGAGATTTCCTCTGACTGGCAGTGCCGTGAGGGAACATGGAGCCAGCTTCTTGGCCAATCAGGAAAGCCGGGGCATGGGCAATGACTCGCGGCCAAGCTTCCTCATTGGCCGGGAAGCCAGCTCCATGCTGTTTGGTCAGCTCCATGCTGATTAGCCGGGAAGCCGGTTTCTCGGCCAATCAGCATCGAGCCAGCCAAACAGCTGGCTCAAAGTGATTGGCTGGAAAGCTGGCTACCCTGCCAATCAGCATTGAGCTGTATCAACAAATTATTCCAGTTCAAATGAAAATAAAAAATTCAAATTTAAACTTTTTTAATCTTGAGACATTTAGTGACAAAACTTGGGGTGGTATGGCTAAAGCAAATGCATTTATTTGGCTTATATTTATAGAAAAGCCTCTTAAATAACTCAATACAATTTTGTGATTGATCTTTTAGAGGCTTTTGCTGGTCTAGTTTGTTTTAAAAGATTTTTGATCTTTTTAGTTTTACTTGCAATGCCTTTTGTAGCACTGATGTCTGGGACGTTATACGTCATACTTATCTGGCCACCAGATGCTGCCTGTAGAGAAATTATTTCTGGTCCGTCGTCTTTCTTGTTTTTTTCATGAGTTTTATTGCTTGCACTATGATATCATAATAAGTCAAACTAAGGCTAGCAAGTGAAATAGGCTGAAGTGCTGTTGTTTTCACATACAGGTGCATAATGGATTAATTGAAATACTGTATGTAGATATGTGAAGCCTCATCACCATCAGACTTGCATATGGGGAAAGTTGTATGGGCATAAGACTTGACAAACAATTCCAAGAATGCGTTAATAATGGCTTTTTGAAAGCTTTGAAGCAAAGCTGAACATTATTCTAAACCATGCACAGTAAAATATAACTGCTACTTAACACATGATAAGGAATGCTAATAATCTGGAGGTGTCTTTTTAAAAGTGTCATAGCTGACCCATTTGAGGAACTTATCTAAAAAATACATCCAAATTCTGTGCTTTCAACCTATTCAATGATGGAATAGTTTAGGAAACTATATCAATCAAGTGACATTTGTATTTCATACCGGTGCATTGAAGATTTTGATAACACGAACAGTCCACAAATCTAGCAAGATCAAAAATCTTTAAAAATCAACCACTATGAACAAATTTTGGCATTACTACAGGAGCTCCAGACACACAAATTCACAAATGTTGTATACTGCAGGGCTCAAAATTTCAAGTCCTGAGCTACTAGCCAGGCCTTAAAAGTTACTCGCCACCAGTTGCCCCACCTAACCCCTACCCTGCCCCGGACTTAACTCCGCCAGATCAGTGGTGTGACATAGAGTACAGAGATCAGTAACAACGCGGAGTCCAGAGGCCAGTGGTGTGATGCACAGTACTAAGGTCAGCAGTACAGAGGTCAGTAATGTAACTCGGAGTGCAGAGGTCAGCAGTGTTAAGCTGCCCATACACCTTACAACCATCGCACGAACCCGCCGAAAATCGTACGATTTTTGGCAGGTTTTCCAGCTAGCTTGGAAGACGAATGTCGTGTAACCGTACAGTAGATGCGGCCACACGCTGCCCATACACCTGCCGATTATCGTACTTTGCGGGATCACCCGCGATTATCGTACGATAATCGTCAGGTGCATGGGCACCTTTTCACAGAAAAAACAGGGACTTACAGTGCACAGTTGATCTGATTCAGGTGCTCTCTTCCTCTCCTGGTGGGGGTGTTGGGGGGAGGGTCATCAATGCTGCCTCTATGTAACAAGGTGAAGCCTCCAGCAGCGTAGTTGAGCCTCCTTTAAAGTCCCACACTGCAGAAATGTACAGAGGTCAGCAGGATGACGCACAGCACAGAGCTCAGTAATGAAACGCACAGTCCAGAGGTCAGCAGTAAGGAGGTCAGTAATGTAACGCACAGTACACAGGTCAGCGGTACAGAGGTCAGTAATGTAACGCACAGTACAGAGGTCAGTAATAAAACACAGTTCAAAAGTCAGCAGTGTAAGGCAGAAATAATGCACGGTACAGAAGTCGGCAATAGCGCACAGTGGAGAGGTCAGCGGTGTAAGGCAGAAATAACGTACGGCGCAGCGATCACCAAGAACGCACAGCACAGAAGTCAGCAAAAACGCACAGCGCAGCGGTCAGCAACAACGCACAACGCAGCGGTCAGCAATAGCACACGGCGCATCGGTCAGCGAGAGCACACGGCGCATCGGTCAGCGAGAGCACACGGCGCATTGGTCAGCGAGAGCGCACGGCGCAGCGGTCAGCGAGAGCGCATGGCGCATCGGTCAGCGAGAGCGCACGGCGCAGCGGTCAGCGAGAACGCACGGCGCATCGGTCAGCGAGAGCGCACGGCGACATTCAATCCAAATTAAACATACTGTATAGTTGCATCTTTCCAGTTTCTCTCACATATATGGTCAGCATAATATTTTGTATCCCTCAAGTTCCATTTACATATTCCTTTGGGTACAAATCAGTGACAGCTGTTTAATAAAATAAAATAAGATCTTATTGGGCTAATATGACCTACATTTCTATTATATTTATTATATATATATATATATACCAGTGGATATTTTGCACAGTAGTTGCACTGTTGATGAACTGACATTGGTGGGAGCAGTGTGTGAAATGGTGCAGTGCTCATATTTAGAATATATTAGTCGCTGGCAGTGAATACAGAGCACTTTCCCCCCCTGGAATTACAGTGGGATGAAGTTCCAGAAGTCAGTTTATAAACAGTGAGGTGTGGTCCGTGTCCAGAGATGTCTCATCTTGTCTAATGATGGTCTGGGAAGCAGACTCAGACATCACCCAGGGAATCAATCTTCCCACACACAGCTCTAGAAAAGCGCCATCAACTGGACAATTAGGGAATACAGACAGCAGTCAGAAGAGTAAATATGGCTCTAGATAGCAGAAAATTAAAAAAAATCTTCCATAGCACACAGTGGACAAAAGGTACAAGGTGAAAGGCCACCGTTAGGTAAATATTTATACCACCTGCCACCAGAACTATATTTATTATATATATATATATATATTATATATTTCTCCAGTGATTGTCATCTTACATTTGGCACTCAATATTGCTGGATAGTAATCTATGGTGATTATCTGTGTTATATGTAAGTTTTACTGAGATTTGGACAACATTAGTTTTACAATTTTTTATGCAAGCATAATTCTTGCCTGCAACTGCACATGTTTTCTAAAGGAAGACCTGAATACAAGATGCTTAGAACAGAATGCTTGGACCATATCCAGGGAGGGATTCACTAAGCAAGGGGCACAGAGTAATAGTGCAGAAGCTGAAAACTGTTTAACTATTGCACACTTATTTGATATTGTAGTCTAATTATTGCATCACTGCTCTGATGACTGTGGCTATGTACCAACATGAAAAGAAAAGCCCTCAGTCAGTTCCTACAAATTACCAAGATTGCAGCTGCAGGTGAGGCAAAAAAGAGCCAGAAATATAAAAGAGTTGGATGTACACTGGATAGATGCCTGATTCACTCATGCACTGATTCACTGCATTGCTTGTATAAATCCTCCCCTCCCCCAAGACTGTGTGTGTGGCTGTGGGGAGACAGAGTACAGAAGCTGTAGACGGCAGAAAACATTATGTAGCAATGGAAAAGGCTTTAGGAGAACTGCATACATGGAAGATTGACAGGATTACCTGAGCCTACCGGATTTATATTGGATAAAGTCATGTGTCCTTGGTCTAAGAGGAGCGTGTCTATCTAATGCTGAGTTGTTAAATAAAGCTAGTTATCCAATCTATTGTTTTTTCCACATGTTCTGGCTATGCAATTCAAACACTTTATATAAAAAAATACTTTGCCCTACAACATTTAATAGCTTCCTTGCCTTCCAAGCCACCATGGCCTTTGCATAGCTGCCAACATTTCAAACACATTTTCAGGAGCACTTTTTTTGGTGTACATCCAGCAAGCCATTGTGAATGGAGAATGCACTTTATGTATATTGAAATTGTAGTGCTTCATAGGCTAGACTTTTCTCTTTTGCTTTTTATGACTAACACATTTATGATGACAATAAATCAGCACTGTGAAAACTGTTGTGAGTTCATCTGTGTTTATCTGTTCTGTAAAGGTTGTAGTATTAGTGGAGAATTCATTTAAAATAGTTGTGGTTCTACAAGAGGCATATTGTTAACCGATTGTACAATTTAATTTTAAAATACTATATTTATATAGGAATATTTACCACAATAAGGACAGAAACACAAGCAACAACCTATGGTTCATTAGTACAATTATTGATGTACTTGTTTAACTAGCTACAACATTTAGTCTGTACAGTGTGGCAACCCAAGAGCTCCTGCAGAGAATACAGTGATAAACACCAATTACGTTGCAATCATATTTGCCATCAAATATTTAGAAAACATCAGTTGACACTGACTGTTCTGCTGAGTACTGTGACCCCTGTTGTGGCTGCTGACG